TTAGTATTATTTACACAATTAACATCCCTAACATGTCAAATTTTGTTGCTTTAATCAAAACGTTTAAACCGTTGTCACTTCCGGCCTTCGTCAGGTGTATATCGTTCTGCGTAACTTACAGGAAATACTGAACTGAACCATTTATTTAATCTACCGTGGTAGACTGTTCTAACAGTGCAAAATTGATTGACAACTTATTTTGCTGCATTTCTTCCCTCTCTCTCTCTCTCTCTCTCTCATCTATATATCTATATATATATATATATATATATATATATATATATATATATATATAGTCCACAACGTAACTTATGAGTTACTCGTAAATAATGTCAAATAGATCTATTGATTACTTAAATGTATATATGTAAGTGTATATGTGTACGTATATATGCATATATATGTGTACGTGTATATATATTTGTGTGTGTATAAAATGATAAATTTGACTCCAGCAGCAATCATTGCTGGTAATATTATTTTTTAAATGATTTATCACACACACACACACATATATATATATTCATTCAGTGTACTCACGCATACAATATATATTCAAGTTCAAGTTTATATATATATATATATATATATATATAATTATTTACTCTAATAGATAGATAGATAGATAGATAGATAGATAGATAGATAGATAGATAGATAGATAGATAGATAGATGTGCTGCCTAATGTAAGGAACTTAGCTTTCGAATGCAAAATGATATATAAAAACAGTAAGATGAGCGAGGAATAAAATACATTCTCGCCTCCTCTGCGGGTAGATTCTAAAGTCGTACTCAGTGACCTTTTTCTAGATATATAGTAACATCCCTCTATCGATTAGTTTACTGGCTAGAAATGTCAGGTCCGACAGACAACTCAAGGGCATTTTACTTACAGACATTCAAGGGTGGTGAAAGTGAAAGAAAATAGCGAAGCTAAAGAAAGAATATGAGGCACTGTCAAAATTGTTCAGTCTTTGATTCTGGGTTCTTTATCTCAACTCCGAAAGCCGTAGTGAGTAATTGAATGACAAAAAGTAAAATAAAAACTTAGGTAACGCGTTTCGACCCTAAAGAAGTTTTCTTCAGAGAAGTTATTTCTTTTTTCCATAGATGGAATCATATATATATGTAGGATATGAACAAACGTTTAAATAGATAGATAGATAGATAGATGATAGATAGATAGATAGATAGATAGAATATGAACAGATTTAGATAGTTGAGGATCAATTTTAGATAAATGATAATCAGGTTTAGATAGATAGACAGACAGACAGACAGACAGACAGATAGATAGATAGATAGATAGATAGATAGATAGATAGATAGATAGTTAATGAACAAATTTAGATAGATGATAATCGGGTTTAGATAAATGATTACCAGGTTATATATATATATATATATATATATATATATATATATATATATATATATATAGACAGACAGAAAAGAGAGAGATAATGTACAGGTTTAGACAAATAGAGGGTGATACATGTATGTTTCTTAATATTATGAGTATATATATATATATATATATATATATATATATATATATATGTATGTATGTATGTATGTGTGTGTGTGTGTGTTTGTGTGTGTGTGTGTGTGTACATATGTGCCTCTTGAAGAAATATATTGACATTCCAATAGCCCAGTAATGGCGAAAGTAAAAAAAAAGAATGCCGAAAGTTGTTCAGTTATTTAAAGAATGCCGAATGATAGTGATTGGTGTCTGAATTTCCTTTTCTGCATTCTCAGGTTAGGTCCCAAACGAAAAAGCAAACACATCGGGAAAGGCCAAAAGGAAGCAAATAAAAAAACATTGTAAAATTTCAGGATTTTGGTGTCTCCTAACACAGGGTACGCTAATAAATAAAATAAAATAGAATAAAATGGAAGTTCGAGAGTTTAGGCTTCGGGTCGGAGAAGATTAAATGAAGACAGAAAGATAAGAAGGTCATCAGCTATTTGGTCGGGAAGAAAACAGGAATGGCAGAGTTGACGTGTTAAAATAAAAAGAAGAGATTAGGAGAAGAAGAAAAAAAAAGAGAGAGAAATGATTTATTTTTCTTCTTCTTATCGTAATCTTTTTCAAAGAAGAAAACAAAAACTGAAAAAGGAAGAAGGAACAGACAAGATAAGAATTAAAGAATATGGGAATTAAAGAATATGAGTATCATGGATATGAGAATTAAAGAATATGGGAATTAAAGAATATGCGAATTAAAAAACACGAGAAGAATAACGTGTGGGATGTTTGAAAAATAAAACGAATTAAAAGCAGAAAAGGAATACTAGAGAATAGGGGAACTTAAGGTAAGTGATGTGTGGGGAGGGAGATAAAACCATTATAAAGGGGAGGTAAGAAGTTAGAAGTGAAAAAAAAAAGAAAAGGAGAGACGTGGAAGATAGAAGGGGAAGGAATAAGAAAAAGCTAAGAAAGAAGAAGGGAAGTCTATAAAGAAAGAACAATAAAGAAAGAAAAATTAAAAGTCAATATGAACGGAGAAAGAAAGAAAGAAAGAAAGAAAGAAAGAAAGAAAGAAAGAAGAGGGAAATGAATAAAGATAGGGAAGACGTGGTGAAAAGAAAGAGAGGAAATAAGAAATAGTTAAGAAAGGAGAAGGGAAGGGTAAGAAGAAAGAAGAAATAAAAACAAGAATGGAAAAAAGAGACGTGAGCTTCAAAGAAGGAAGGAGAAAACAGAAAGAAGAAAAAAAAAAGAGCGACAAAAAGTTCTCCATTACGTAGAAAATATCTGGAAGGAATATTAATAAATTAAATAAATGACAAACACGCATTAAATAATTGTCAGACCCGCATTTTTTTATCTGAAAGTATTCATAAAACATATACTGAAAGAATGTGAAATCCAAATACTGTTATTTACTGCTATCGTCCGTCATTTTTACCACAGAATTAACCTTCATTAATATTACCAATATTTAAATGCATACTGAAATTACGCTAGTATTTCAAGAATAAAAGTGAACTGTGACACCATGATAAAAAAATGTGACGTTCACACAAATTGCAAACACAGTAATGCCATAAAATGAACAGCACGAAAATATGTGCCGAGCCAATGAAACCAAACAGAATTATAAATCGAAACAACTTCAAATTCTTCCATTTTTAGAAATCTCTGGTGAGGCTGAATAAATAACGAAATATGTCAAAAGTCACAATGGTTTTCATACACGTTTCATATTTAACCATTTTGTCGTATTTCGTCTGAATATTCAGCCCAAAACCAAACTGTACTATAATTAAAGGCAAAAGGAAAACTTATCTTAACCTACGCATTTCGTCCTCCAACGGACTTTATCAAAGTAAATGTAATGATTTTATTTTGCAACAAGTATTGATAAACATAAATAAAAATTCAATTATTTTTTTTCAAAACTTTTAAAATGTAAGAGACGCCATGAATATTCATCAGGTTAACAGAAAATCAAGGTAAATTATGGAAGATGCTAAGTGACATAATTTCATGTCTAATAAACGAAAGTGAGTAAATGATGTTCATTTTTTATGTAATTAACATTTAAATTATTTTAGTTTGGGATTAATTTATGTATTATATATTTTAAATAACATGATTTTATGAATTCAATTCAATTTTGCAGTGTTTGTATGTTGGCTTATTAAAATAGTAAATCTTTTAGGAATGACGATATTTGAAAAATACGAGGCGTAGATTTATATTTTGATATTATTTGACATTTTCGAGAATTTTCCATCTATGTAAGTTACATTCCCTTCTATAATGTGTATGGCATTCTTTAGATAAAACATGTGGTTGAATTTATTTCTATGCATATCTAATGCATTTGATAAATTGTTATGGATCAGTCAGTCAGTTATGTGCCATGCGTGATACACGTTTAAGCGATCATGTATCTTTCAATACATGACTGACGAGGCAGATTTTTTCCCGCAGTAGGTTGCCATTTATTTCTGCGGTAGTCCTGTTGCCATCCAAGGCTATAGAACCCAGTTCTGCTATTTGCCCATAGCTGGGGGAGAGGAGAAGAGGATTCATACAAGAATATAATTTAAATTCTTAAAGTGTTTAACTATTTAGTCATTTATGTGCCATGTCTGATACACGCTTAGACGATCATATATCTTTCGATACATCACTGACGAGGCAGATTTCTTCCCGCAGTAGGTTGCCATTTCTTTCTGCGGTAGACCAGTTGCCATCTAAGGTTATAGAACGCAGTCCGTCCTGCTATTTATCCATAGCTGGTGGGAGAAGAAGAGGATTCATACTTTTCCCAATGGTATTAGCACTAAAGTGAATGTAATGGATTCGACTTGTTGTGTATAAGATGCTTGTTGTTTTCATAGATATGTTGTTTTTTATATTTCTGCAAGTTTCACCAATGTATTATGAGGAGCAGTTGTGACAGTTTGTTTTATTTATATATACATGTTCCAGAATTATTATTGTTAAGCTGTAATACGCAGACTCTTGTTTCTGTTCTTTCTTATTTTGCTTTTTTTTTTTTTTTTTACCCAGTCTGTCGTTTCTATTTTGTGTCAGCCTATCCCTGCCCTGATTTGGCTAACCCTGACTTCTGGCATTTTTTCGACAGCCAAATTCTCTTTTAAAGAGGAGGAAATTTCAAATAATCATCGATATTAAATAGAACGTCATGAAGCAGTTGATGACGATCACGGAATAGAAATCTAAATAAGACTTTGCAAACTAGAAGGTACTTTGCGATAAGTGCTGAAAACTCCCCAGGTTTGAAGGCTATTTTAAGTTACTAACAAATCGCTGGGGGTTCTTCGAACATCCCCCATATAACTATCTTCCTTCCAAATAAACTCAACATATTGATGTATTCAATTTAAAATACCAGTTTTAAATACCGACCGGTATTAATACAATCAATACCAAAGATTCCAGTTTTAGCCTCGTTCTCAACCATTATTTCTACTAACCATTAAAACCTCTTTACAAACAATAGGATGCGCTCGGCAAATGAGGAACGACTCGAATTTTATCAATGCTGTGAGATCATTAATAATATTATCATGCAGTCTCCGGCTTTGATATTATCAGCATCTCTACTAGAAAACAACATTATTATCAATGTCAGTAACGACATGTGATACTTGTTTAGAACGTCAATATCGTCTGTGTTTCCAACAATCTGGACTGACTCGAGCCGTTCACGCGAGATTAACGCATTTTAAATTGATAATGAGAAGAACTCGAGTGACGCTAATTGATATCGATAGAGTGGCTGGTGTCGATCGGCAAACGAAATAAAGAGAGGTCTGACGATTGAAACTGGAGTCCTGATTATTTCATCGAACGAGCTGCAATCTCTTTATCCGGCTATAAATTTGGGATCTCTATAACAAGTAATATCAGTTTCTTCATATTGATTTCAAACTGAATATATATATATATATATATATATATATATATATATATATAAGCAAATATATGTAAGCAAATATATGGATATAGATCCGACAGTATGAAGAAAAATATACGGAAAAATCAAACAAAAATCCTAATATGCAATTATGCTGTTTTAATGTTAATATAATGTCAACGTCGAACGTTTCGGTCTAGAAGACCATCTTCAGGACATATTCATAAAACATAATTAACATTAGACTATATTCAATTCAACATGAAAAGACGATGGATATAAGAGTAAGACTAATCCAAACAGATAACTGAAATGTTTCAAGATCAGCGTTCCGTTTCACAAAATGATCACGTACATATAAGTTTTAGATTAAAATAAAATTCTTTTCATTTTTCATTCAAAATACTCTATTTTAGGAATACGTTTTCACAACATCGCCGACGTGACGGCGACGTGATCATATTGTGAAACGGAATATATATATATCAATTACACGCAGGCAATATTGTACTAACGATTTATTTAAGCGTAGCACTAGATTGGGAACCAGGTCTCATATATTTACTGTCGAAATTGCTAAATGTAACTATAAATCCTATTCTAACTGTTTCTTTTCTTGCATTTTACGTCATTGGAACTTCTTCCTTTCCTACCAACTATGATCTTCGAGAATGTTAATGCACCGTCAATAGACATCTCATGCCTTTCTGAAACCTGTTCTTTTATTGACCTTTCTCCTGACTAAAATCTTCTCATTCTCATCACTTCCTGTAACCCATTGAGCCTTAGTGGGATTATCGCCTTGTTTGGGGTGAAATGATAAAAGAAATTCCGCTCTTTTTCGGGAATTATATTATCAACTCTTGTATATATATATATATATATATATATATATATATATATATATATATATATATATATATATAATATATGCAAACACAAACAAACAATTAGACGCGCATACACAAGTACACAAATATACACGCGTACTTGTATGTATGTATGCATACATGCGTACACATGCATAGGCGCACACATAAATACACAGCCGCACAAACACACACACACAAATCCAACCATCACAAAATAGCAATAAACCAAAGGTCAACAGAGGAGGTGAGAAAAAAAAATGAAAGAATAAAAAAATAAAATAAAAAACAAGGTAGAGGAAGTGAAATCAACAATTGATCAAAACACATCATTCGAAAAGGAAAATAACGCACTCGTATTACAATAAAAATACAAAGAAATCTAACAATATTAGCAGTTTCAGTCTGTTCTGAGGAGTGGTTGCATCTATGTGAGACGAAACTCTGAAGTAAACATTATTGAAAAAACATTATCATTATATATATATATATATATATATATATATATATATATATTATTATTATATATATATATATATATATTATATATATATCATTATATATATATCATTATATATATCATTATATATCATTATATATATATATCATTATATATATCATTATATATATATATATCATTATATATATCATTATCATTATATATATATATCATTATATATATATCATTATGATTATATTTATATCATTATCATTAATATATATATTTATATCATTATATATATATATATATATATCATTATCATTAATATGTATATATATTATATATATATATATGTGTGTGTGTGTGTGTGTGTGTGTGTGTGTGTGTGTGTGTGTATTTAGGCAGCACTCCTTCTTTCGTGCATATTTCATTGAATACGACAGACAAGGTGCATTGATTTAGTATTTTTATTCAATCTCTCATGTGATCATATAATTTTTTTTCCTTTTCAGAGGATAAATTGTATAAAAACTATCCAATTATTCTTTCTTTACGATCACCTTTGGCTATACATTTGGCTATTTTCAAGGTTGAAATATATTAACTTATTATGAAGCCTTATTAATAAAAACAAATCAAAAAACAACAACATTCAATAATATCAACGATCTACGTGGATAATTTATCCTCCGTAGAGAAAAAAATTATACGATCACATGAGAAATGGTATAAAAACTTGATCAAAGCACCATGTCTGCCGTATTCAATGAAACGTAAATATATATATATATATATATATATATATATATATATATATTCAAGAAAGAAATTCGGATTACCAACACACAAACAGAGAATGTCTCATATCGAGAATATTTAACATTGAACATAAGGAAAAAATTAATTATTTTTAATAATATGGAAATCTCCGCTTTTACCTGAAGACGGTCGCGAGACCAGAAACTCGTGTCGTAAAATTATGTAAAACAAAGCATAATTTTTCTAAATAAATCCACATTACAACCAAAAACGATTGCGGCACCTCTCTTCTCTTCTTTTTATATACATACTTTTCTCTCGTTGAAACCACTACAACATATTTCTTATATATATATATATATATATATATATATATATATATATATATATTGAACAACAATAAAAAAATATTAAAAAATTAAAATCTTCAGACACACTGGGTTGTAGATTAATATTCTTTCGTTTTATTTTTATTATTCCACTTAGATTCCTCGACTAGTTTCGGCCAAAATGGCGATCGTCGGGAGAAGAAATATTTCTGCTTGCTGGCAGCAGTAAACTACAGAAATGAATGGCTTGATGGAGAAAATGAACTTTTGTCTGTAGTTTTCATTTGCTTTTTTATTTTTTTATCTTTTTAACATGAATTTTTTTAACATTCCTTGTGTTGGTGAAACAGTCTCTTTTAAGTTGTCATTTGAGATTAGAGCTGGATGGATCCATGCTTTTCTGAATTCCTTTGGTCAGTTTGACAGTTTTATTGCTCCTGGAGAGGGGATGTTTCTCTGTTTAGTGTTTATATGTGTGTTATATGGTTTTTTAGGGAGTGAGTATGATATGTGTAAGCGTGTGTATTGTTGTGGGTGGGTGTTATCATTTGGCTCATTAGGGAGTGAGTGAGTATGATGTGTGTAAGTGTGTATATATTCGTGTGGGTGTGTGTACAAGTGTGAGGCCTCAACACCTCCGTAAGCATGCTTGTCTTGTATGGGAGAGACACACACACACACACACACACACACACACATATATATATATATATATATATATATATATATATGTCAACAATAATTTACCCAGCTTGTACTCAAGCTGTAAAACGTAAAACGATATCTTACAGAGAGACATTCTCGGCCGATTTCAATAAAATCTATTTAAACCAAAAAACACACACGTGCGCACACACATACATACACACACACACATATACAAATATATATATATATATATATATATATATATATATATATATATATATATATATAGTGTCGATGCGTAATATGAAACGGGTTTTGCAGCCACATTCCAGACAATTAAATCAGCCGAAATCAAGAGGGGTTCTGAATACAAACTTGGACCCTAGAGAGATCAGGCCCCTATCTGATAACCTTTTGGGTGTGTGGAATAAACGTGGGGTCATGGGAGGTGAGATTTGCCTGAAGAATCACAGTTTGGGTCAGGCAAGTCTACATTGAAACGTACATCCACAAGTCTTATGGGGAGAGTGGGGTGACCTAATACCAAATTTTTGGCAATCTCGCATGTTGATTATGTACTCTCTTACATCCAACGATACCTTTCCCAGAAAAAACAAACAAAAAAACGCAGACTCCATTTTCAAAAAGATTTTATTACTATTTTCCTTTAGATTGTCGGTCTCTGTTTGATAGTAGCATAGATAAACCACTTTCCTTTAATTTAAAAAAAAGTGTTCTTTTTCTGGACTTTGTTAAAACGTAAGATAAACAATGCTATGAATCTCGTGACCAATTGTCCGTAGATTCAACAGGCATGGGGACAAAACTAAAGGCAGAAGAATTCTGGTTCTACAGAAGGATAATGAAAATTCCTTGGACGCTGTCGACAAGGAAGTCTTCAAGAAAATGGCAACAGAATAACCACTTCTACTCTTAATCAGGAAAATAGAGCAGAAATTCCTTGGACACATAATGAGGAAGGAGGGCTTGGCAAACTTAACCCTCCCTGGGCTTATTGAGGGCAAGAGAGATAGGAGAAGACAGTTACCTTCCACCTTCTTCTTCTTCTTCTTCTTCTTCTTCTTCTTCTTCTTCTTCTTCTTCCACCTCCTCCTCCTTTTACATATTCTTCTTCTTCTTCTTCCACCTCCTCCTCCTTTTACTTCTTCTTCTTCTTCTTTTTCTTCCACCTCCTCCTCCTCTTACTTCTTCTTTTTCTTCTTCTTCCACCTCCTCCTTTTACTTCTTCTTTCTCTTCTTCTTCCACCTCCTCCTCTTTTTACTTCTTTTTCTTCTTCTTCCACCTCCTCCTTCTTCTTCTTATTCTTCTTCTTCTACCTCCTCCTCCTTTTACTTCTCCTTCTTCCTTTTCTTCTTCTTCCACCTCCTCCTTTTACTTCTTCTTTCTCTTCTTCTTCTTCTTCTTCTTCTTCTACCTCCTCCTCCTTTTACTTCTCCTTCTTCTTTTTCTTCTTCTTCCACCTCCTCCTTTTACTTCTTCTTTCTCTTCTTCTTCTTCTACCTCCTCCTCCTTTTACTTCTCCTTCTTCTTTTTCTTCTTCTTCCACCTCCTCCTTTTACTTCTTCTTCTTCTTCTTCTTCTTCTTCTTCTTCTTTTCTGTTTCTCCTCCGTTCTTTGATGCTAACTTATCTTTGTTCCATCTTTGTACCTTCTTCTTCTTTTTCTTCTTCTTCTTCTTCTTCTTCTTCACATTTATTTTTCCTTCCTATTAGTTATCGTCCATTTGTCCCATCTTCTTCCTTTTTTCTCTTTTATTCTTCTTTCTTTCATTTTACTCTACCCGTCTTCTTTCTTAACTTTATCTTCTTCCCTCTTCTTATAACAGAACGGCTAATATCGCCATTACTATTAAGTTACGTCTTTCTTTTTCTTTCTCCTTTTCTTTTATATACCATCTTATTTTCGATCTTTTTTCTTTCTCTTTTTTATTACTTTCTCATTCCAGTTTTTCATTCATTCACTCTCTCTCTCTCTCTCTCTCTTCTTTCTGTTTTTCTTCCTCCACATCTCCAGCCATCGTAACTATCTCATTTTTTTCCATCTTTATACTTCTGTTTTCTTTACTCTTCCTTCTTATCTTTTTCTTTCTTCTTCTTTCTTTCTTTTTTACTCTGCCCGCCTTCTTTAACTTTCTCTTTTTCCCACTGTTTATTTTTTTCTTCATGTCTCCACACGTCTTTTCTACTCAAGTTTAACTTTCATGTTCATCAAAATTCTTATCAAAGTTTCTCTTACCTGTGTGCATTTCTTTCCTCCATGCATACAGACATCAAGGATGCCGTCTTTGTAAACGAGTAAGACCATCGCTGACAAGTTTATTCCATGGTTTCAGTTCTCGTAAAAACAACAATGGCTCGTATATTTTCTGAATACACCTCTTACTCGTCTGTCTATATTTCTGAAATGAGGTATTGTAAATATTTCCACTATTTATATTGTTCGGAATGTTGTCCTCATCTGTATTACCATATTCACTACGTTTCGGCGGTTGTACGCCCCGGTCTTCTTCAGGTGATATTCCTTGGAATTTCAAACGGAACCTCGTAATGGTTTTCATTTTAACTACCCTTCACTTACCTTAACTTCCTCCTCTTCTCTATTCTTCCTTTTCTCATTTTTTCCTTGTTTATTAGTTTTCTAACTTCCCACACTTCTTCCTTCTCTTTCTTTTTCATTCGCATATTCTCTAATTCTCATATTCTTTAATTCTCATATTCCTTAATTCCCATATTCTTTCATTCTTATGATCTCAGTTCTTTCTTTCGTTATTTCTTTCTTTCTTTCTTTCTTTTTTCTTTCTTTCTTTCCTTCGTGCTTTCTTTCTTTCTTTCTTTCTTTCTTTCTCCACTTCTCCGTTCAACTTGACTTTTTCATTTTTTTTTTAAGTTTCCTTCTTTGCAGTTTTTTTTCCTTAAACTTCGCTTCTTCTTTTTTAGCTTTTTCTTATTCCTTCCCCTTCTATCTTCCACGTCTCTCCTTTTCTTTTTTTTTCACTTCTAACTTCTTACCTCCCCTTTGTAACGGTTTTATCACCCTCCCAGCACTTCCCTTACCTTAAGTTCCCCTATTCTCTAGTATTCCTTTTCTACTTTTAATTCGTTTTATTTTTCAAATGTCCCACACTTTATTCTTCTCGTGTTTTTTAATTCGCATATTCTTTAATTCTCATATTCTTTGATTTTCATATTCTCTAATTCTCATATTCTTTAATTCTTATCTTGTCTGTTCTTTCTATTTTCTTCTTTCTTTTTTTAGTTTTTAGTTTCTTCTTTGAAAAAGATTACGATAAAATGAAGAAAAATAAATCATTTATCTCTGTTTTTTTTTCTTCTTCTCCTAATCTCTTCTTTTTATTTTAACACGTCAACTCTGCCATTCCTGTTTTCTTCCCGGCCAAACAACTGATGACCTTCTTATCTTTTTGTATTCATTTAATCTTCTCCGACCCCAACCCTAAACTCTTGAACTTCCATTTTATTTTATTTATTATCGTGCCAATGTTAGAAGACACCAAAATCCTGAAATTTTCCAATTTATTTCCTTCCTCTTTGTCTTTCCTGATGTATCTGATTTCAAGTTTGAGGCTTAACCTAATCCATTTGAAAAAATGACCACTCTATGAAGCCGGTTTTTACAAACTCCACTAAAAAGCGAAGTAAAATGCAAGGCAAGCTGATATCTTTAGAGACGGCTGGTAAATTAGATCCTCCCCAATAACATTTCTATTTTGGTTTTGTGCCCAAATACATCCCTTCTCTCTCAGCTATGGATTAAATAGTAGCACTTGTATCTAAAATAGTTATAGACAAAAAATTGTTAATGAAATATTCCTTAGAAAAAAAAAATTTTTCTTACTATCCAAAATATTTTTCGGCTTTAAATAACCTATAACGGGTTTGACAAGCCGTAAAATCCAAATCAATCATCGCGCAATAACCTTGTGCCCGACTTAAAATAAATACTTACAGTGTTATATATCAAAATAATGTTGCGTAAATTAATTGCAAACTGGAGAAAAATCATTTTCGTAGTTGCATCAACGTAAACATCAGATTTGTTTGATGAATTCTCTTGATATGAACGGCGAAGCTCGACCTGTGGCTCTAGATATCTCGAAAGCGCTTGACAGGAATTGGCATGCTGGTCTTCTACGTAAGTTTCAGGGCTATGGTATTACAAGACGACTATTTGATTTAATCCAATCATTCCTTTCAAATCGTGAAATGAAGATCGTTCCGAGGGGGCACGCTTCCAGATCCTTTCTTATGACTGCAGGGTCGCTAAATGCTCTATCCTGAGTCCTGTTTCTGATCTTCATCAGTGATGTTCCTGATGTCATCAGCTATCAAGTAGGCATCAATGCAGATAACAGTAGCATTTACTTCTGTCTCAGTAGTAGACACGGCAGCACTGGTGAAGTCAATCTACACGCTGCTCTCGAAAAAGAACTTTCCATCAGTACTTAACTGGGGTAGGAAATATTAGGTTGGTGCAAAAATAATGACGTAATAATGTCGTTTTTTACCTTAAAAAAATACGTCAAAAAACGACATTATTACGTCATTATTTTTGCACCAACCTAATAGCTTGTAAATTTTAATGCTTCCAAAACGAAACTGCTCTCATTTAACGACCATAGAGAAACTTTCCTGTCCGCCATCATCATGGTCGATGCTAAACTCATGGAGAGCAACACACTGCGCCTTCCTGGCCTTACGTTCTCAACTGACTTGAAGTAAAGCGAATACATCGTATCAATAGCTGAATCTACTGCAAGGAAAGTTGGATCACTGTGCCGTGCTAGAAGATTTTTCTCGCCAGAGTCCACCTTGCACATTTACAAATCTACCATTTCTCCATGGATTGAATACTCTTACCATGTCTGGTCTGTTCTGGCCTGGAGGCTCTGCTATTCATCTCGAGATTCTTGACAAAATCCAAAGAAGGATCGATCATGACCTGGCATCTCGGTTTCAGTCAGAACAAGACTTATCCAGACAGATATCTTATATATTATCAGTTATCTGTTTGGATAAGTCTTGTTCTTATGTACATCGCTTTTGTCATGTTGAATTGATAAAGTTAATTATATTTTATGAATATGTCCTGAAGATGGTTTATTAGACCGAAACGTCCGACGTTGACATATTAACATTAAAACAGCATAATTGTATATAAGGATTTTGTTTGTTTTTTTTCCGTATATTTTCTTCATATATATATATATATATATATATATATATAGGTTGTTGGTGCAAAAATAATGACGTAATAATGTCGTTTTTGGACGTACTTTTTAACGTCAAAAAACGACATCATTACGTCATTATTTTTGCACCAACCTAGTATATATATATATATATATATATATATATATATATATATATATATATATATATATATATATATATATGTGTGTGTGTATTTATGTATGTAAAGCTGTTTACTTGAAAGAGAGAGAGAGAGAGAAAATAATGTCACAAACTATCACCAGTAATTTTGGTCCTTACAAATCTCTTTCATAAACTTAAAAATACTAAATAGCTTGCTTTAAAGCGATAGTTAACACGAAAATCTGAAAAAAAAAATGATTCTTTGTTTAGTTGAGATTATAATTTTAAAAATATATTTCCTGGACAATTATTTCTTAAACTTGGCATAGTGTGTCACATGACCACAAATATAGGTCATCCAGTCTGGATCGAACTTACTACTTAGTAGTGATAGTCAACGGGAGGAACTCTCTAACCATTAGCCGACACCGGAACACCCACATACGCCATAAAAAAAAATATGACTTTGCTTGTCGATTTATGAATAAAAAAATGACGAATAAAAGACCCTAACTTTAATTGTGTCTGGCGAACAACATAACAGCTCTTCCAATTGTCTTCATTGAGGTCAAAGATTTGTATCCAACTTTTACAATTCCTTTTGATAGCTATGATAATTACTAACGTGATTAATCACTAATTATTGAACAGAAAATTAAAAAAGCGTGGGTGGGCTTAAGGCGGAAATATCTTTTTATTAATGGTGGATGCTATTGAGAGAGAAGAAAGCATACATAGTTCTGTTTATGTAACCAGATGAATGATAGGCGTTATCGTATTAAGTATTAAAAAGAAACAGTTAGCACTGAAGGTTTATGGCTTCTTTAGCGTCGCGTGGAAGTTCAGGTGAGCAGGGTATGTAGACAAGGCTGTTAGAAATACTGGGTGGATGGAGTGAAAGGTTAGAATAGAAAGACAGAAATGGCAAAGAAAAGTCGGAGGGAAGAATAGGGTGTATAGAAAGTGAAGAGTGAGTGTTTAGGAAGAAGAGGACTACGGTGGCGTGAGACGGAGAGAAAGGACGTTGAAAGAGAGACGGAGAGAAACACAGGACGAGAAAAAAAAGAAGAGGGATGGATAGTAGAGGGATTGGAAAGAAAGAAAGAAAGAAAGAAAGAAAGAAAGAAAGAAAGAAAGAAAGAAAGAAAGAAAAGGGAATTGAAAATGGAGGGAAAGAAAGAAAAAGAAAGAAAGAAAAGAAAAAAGAAAGAAAGAAAGAAAGAAAAGAAAGAAAATGGAATTGAAAATGGAGGAAAGAAAGAAAGAAAGAAAGAAAGAAAGAAAGAAAGAAAGAAAGAAAAGGGAATTGAAAATGGAAAGAAAGAAAGAAAGAAAGAAAAGGGAATTGAAAATGGAAAGAAAGAAAGAAAGAAAGAAAGAAAGAAAGAAAGAAAAGGGAATTGAAAATGGAAAGAAAGAAAGAAAGAAAGAAAGAAAGAAAGAAAAGAAAGAAAAAAGAAAGAAAGAAAAGGGAATTGAAAATGGAGGAAAGAAAAGAAAGAAAGAAAGAAAGAAAGAAAGAAAGAAAGAAAGAAAGAAAGAAAGAAAAGGGAATTGAAAATGGAGGGAAAGAAAGAAAGAAAGAAAGAAAGAAAGAAAGAAAGAAAGAAAGAAAGAAAGAAAAGGGAATTGAAAATGGAAAGAAAGAAAGAAAGAAAGAAAGAAAGAAAGAAAAGAAAGAAAGAAAGAAAGAAAAGGGAAAAGAAAATGGAGGGAAATGGAAAGAAAGAAAAGAAAGAAAGAAAGAAAGAAAGAAAAAGAAAAGGAATTGAAAATGGAAAGAAAGAAACAAAAAAAGAAAGAAAAAAGGGAATTGAAAATGGAAAGAAAGAAATTGAAAATGGAAAGAAAGAAACAAAGAAAGAAAGAAAAGGAATTGAAAAATGGAAAGAAAGAAAAAAAGAAAAAGAAAAGAAAAAGAAAAAAGAAAGAAAGAAAGAAAAAAAAAAGAAAGAAAGAAAAAAGAAAGAAAAGGGAATTGAAAATGGAAAGAAAGAAAGAAAGAAAGAAAGAAAGAAAAGAAAGAAAGAAAGAAAAAAGGGAATTGAAAATGGAGGGAAAATGGAAAGAAAGAAAAGAAAGAAAGAAAGAAAGAAAGAAAGAAAAGGGAATTGAAAATGGGAAAGAAAGAAAGGAAGAAAGAAAGAAAGAAAGAAAGAAAGAAAATGAAAATGGAGGAAGAGATGCAAATTAAGAAAGAAAAGAGACAGAGAGAACAGAAATGAAAAAGAAAGAAAAGAGAAAATAAGAAGTGATAGAGGAAAAAAGGAAAAAGAAAGAAAGAAAAGGGAATTGAAAATGGAGGGAGAAATGAAATGAAAAGAAACAAACAAAGAAACAAAGAAAATTAAATTGAAAATGGGGGAAGAGATGCAAATTAAGAAAGAAAAGAGACAGAGAGAACGGAAATGAAAAAGAAGGAAAAGTGAAAATGAGAAGTAATATAAGAAAAAAGTAAAAAAAAAGTAAAAAAAAAGGCGAAGTGGTGTAAAGTGAGAAGAACGGAAGAGACAAATAAAAAACAAAGAAAGAAAACAAGAAAAATAGTTAAAAGAAAACAACAAGAAACTGTGGAGGACCATGATCGAACACCTTCTAAAAGAACTTGGAATATAAAAGAAGACTGTATATTTTGTCGGGGATAAAAATGATTTTGATTTTAAAGTAAATTTCGAGTTTTTTATCCCATTCTGTGTATTTTGTTTGTGATCAAAGTGTAGGATCTGTTCTTTTATGTTAATCTGGGTTTTGACGAAAGTGCCATATACCTTCATACGTGGTATTTGTTGATTGATTTGTTTGTTTATTTGCGAATTATCAATTCTTTGTCGAAACCTATTTACAGTAACCGTTGTTCCCACGCAGATCATCATCTAAGTACTGACTGGGTTCTACATTGCTTAACTTTGGTGACTGAACTAGAACCGGTGTTTTCAGCGGCATTTAACCGTAAACTAAAACACTCGAACTGTGACTAGGCAACAGAAAGGTTGAAATCCAGTGAAATATATCACGAAGAAATATTTCAATTCTTCCTGTTATGGCACTGAAATATATTTGGATTTCAAAAGCAGATGAGTATAAATAAACTCTGATAAGAAATGTCAAAATATTATTTAATTCAAGCCATTGCTTTCATCTTGATTATTATTATATATAAGACGTTTCTACCAAGTACACTGTAGTCGTCTGCAAGTGACTAATATGGGGTATTTGTTGATTATTGTTATATTTTGCCCCTGTGTTGCTAGCTCTTGTTCTGATCCATGAATTGAACTCGCGATCACTAGATGACTGTAGTCACCGTCCTGAAGGACAATGGCTATCCTACATCAACCAAACAATGGCCACGTGAAGATGGGTAGAGAGGACTCGGCTGAAACGTCGTCTCTATAATAACACCTTTGATAATGTAATGAGAAAATAGCTTGAATAAATTAAATGTATATTAAAAATTCTCCATCTTAAAAATGAAACAGAGAATTGTCAAAGATTTTTTCCGTTTATTTTTACCTTTTTTTTTCGATTCTCTTTAGATTATTAAAATACCAACTAAATATTACGGTTTAAATCCAGATTTAAAATGTAAAAAAGAAAAAAAAAACATGTAGAAACTTCCTTTTTCGACTATAATTTTTCTCTCCCCCTGCTCACATATTCTGCAGACATTGGTTTAAATGTCAAAAAATTTAAAACCGAGCATGCATAAAATATTAGAGACATTTGACTTTTAAGTTTTTCCTTTCTTTCTTTTTTGTCAACAAGGCACCGTACTGACTGGCGGTGATTCCATGAAGATGTCGGGTATGATTCCGTGGTATAGGTTGGGTCGTGTGATATACCTAAACACGTCATTATTGATCAATGTCCGTTAAGTTAAAAATACTTTGTGCCAATTTACACCCATTCATGGAGTCCGTATACCCAAACAACGACGAATTACATCCGCAGGGTAATACAATGTCACTTCTTACCCAGTATTGGTTTAAAAAACATTCTGGAAACTTCCGAGGAATGGTGTAGTCACCACGCCCACCCGAGATGTGGGCCCAATCGAGAATTCATGTAACTTAGTGTATAGCACTAGTCGCATGAAAGATCCGTCACCTATAAATACCAAGGGACAGCCATTGAGGTCTGATATCTATCTATCTATCTATCTATCTATCTATCTATCTATCTATCTATCTATCTATCTCTTCATGCCTGTCCGTGTCTATCTATCTATCTATCTATCTATCTATCTAGATAGATAGATAGATAGATAGATAGATAGATAGATATGAACCGACTGAGATGGATGCATGTACATTCGTTGCTGCCTTTGATAGATAGATAGATAGATAGATAGATAGATAGTCATTTATTCAAAAATTATACCATAAAAATGTTATAAAATCACTACAAAAATAGCCATTTTGTTTCAACACTTCTGATGTCTTCTCAAGTGATGGTGTTGAATGTAGATAAGACACCAGAAGTGTTGAAACAAAATGGCTATTTTTGTAGGGATTTTATAACATTTTTTATGCTATAACTTTCGAATAAATGATTATAATTGCTCGACTCTATTGAGCACTCTTTTAAGAATAGTATTTGTTGGTTATTGAATTTATTCCGTATACACCAATCCTATATCGTATATATATATATATATATATATATATATATATATATATATATATATATATATATATATATTCAGTCGTATGGATAGGAGTTTGTAACCCTGGGTTTAATGCTTTTGCGATCATTAGATAAAAAGTTAACTCTATTATTGGTATTGATCACTTTCCAATAACTACCGCGCATATATAATATATATAGAAATATATATATATATATATATATATATATATATATATATATATATATTATTATATATTATTATTAAAAATTACGAATCAACATGATCTGTCTGTTTAATTTATTTCATTGTATTTTTCAAGTTTTCGAATAAGGTGTTGAGCATTGTTAAAGATGTTGTGGATAAACTGTTCGAAGTTCATATTTTGTTATTTTTCTTCAAGTACTTTCGACTTTCACAGTCATTATCCAGAACTGATGTTGCGTCTGTGTGGCGTTTAAAATTCCTTTGTCTGCATTCTATTATTCTTTGGGAAGCTGGACGTTTGAAATTGTATAGCGTGACGCCATGTGTAGCGGCTCTTGGAAACAAGGCTGCACAAAATTTGTTTTATTTATTTTTAGCAGAAGGACAACTCTGATTTCAAAACCTGCGGATGGTTGTTTGGGGACCTTGTGGCACGTATATATATATATATATATATATATATATATATATATATATATATATATAGTTAAATTACGTTAAATTATGGTATTTTTAAAATTTTCAGATTTTCAAAACCTATTATTACTTAAGAAAAATAGTTGTCAGTGCCTACAACAAATTGCTATTTCATTTCTTTGATTTAGTATTTTTTTTTTTTTTTTGTTGGCTCCAAAATCAAACGCCCTTTAATATCAATAAATACCGGAATCAAACGTCCCTTTCTAAATATTTCTGGCACTTAAAAGAAACCGATAAAACATCAACAGTAAAATGGTAATTAATAAAAGCTACAGCTTGTAGGTCATAAAATAACCCATGTCCTTTCTGCACACATGAAAAATTATAGATTATTAAATTTCTGAGAAATAAAAATTGTGTGTGTGTGTGTTTACAGATGTCTTTTCATTATTATTTATATTACTCGGATCATTCCTCTATTAATGTATCTATATCCCGTCTCTCTCTCTCTCTATATATATATATTACTATCTCGCTATCTTTCTCTATCTCACCAAATATATATATATATATATATATATAATATATATATATATATATATATATAGTTAGTTAGTTAGTTTCAATACGTGCGAGTACATCGATCAGCTGTCTGTTTACCTTTGTATTTCAATATGCCAGAATGTGTAATGTTTCTTTTCCTCGGTGTATTGATCTGCCCTCATTTTCCATTCGAGGCAAATGCTTATTGCGAATTCAACGTTAGACCTCCTTTCCTTCGACAATCTTAAATGTATGTTTCGTATACTCGTTTACAGCGACTCCCGACAGATGCTTCCAAGTTTATTTGTTTTCTTTACAGAACTTTCACTATTTGCAGGTGGGGATAAAGACACATTACATCACTAGCTAGCTAGCTAGCTAGATAGATAGATAGATAGATAGATAGATAGAATAGATGATGATAGATAGAATAGATAGATGTAGATAGATAGATAGATAGATAGATAGATAGATATAAATAGACTGATGTGTAGATAGATAGATAGATAGATAGATAATAAGCAGACTAATATATATATATATATATATAGATAGATAGATAGATAGATAGATAGATAGATAGATAGATAGATAGATAGATAATAGATAATAGATAGATAGATAGATAGATAGATAGATAGATGATGAATAGATAGATGTAGATAGATAGATAATAATAGATAATAGATAGATAGATAGATAGATAGATAGATAATAAGCAGACTAATAGATAGATAGATAGATAGATAGATAGATAGATGAATAACTGATGTAGAGAGATAATAGATAGATAGATAGATAGATAGATAATAGATAGATAGATAGATAGATAGATAGATAGATAGATAATAAGCAGACTAATAGATAGATAGATAGATAGATAGATAGATAGATAGATAGATAGATAGATATGAATAGACTGATGTAGATAGATAGATAGATAGATAGATAGATATAAATAGACTGATGTAGATAGATAGATAGATAGATAATAAGCAGACTAATATATATATATATAGATAGATAGATAGATAGATAGATAGATAATAAGCAGACTAATAGATAGATAGATAGATAGATAGATATGAATAGACTGATGTAGATAGATAGATAGATAGATAGATAGATAATAAGCAGACTAATAGATAGATAGATAGATAGATAGATAGATAGATAATAAGCAGACTAATAGATAGATAGATAGATAGATAGATAGATATGAATAGACTGATAGATAGATAGATAGATAGATAGATAATAAGCAGACTAATAGATAGATAGATAGATAGATAGATAGATAATAAGCAGACTAATAGATAGATAGATAGATAGATAGATAGATAGATAGATGAATAGACTGGATGTATGAATAGATAGATAGATAGATAGATAGATAGATAGATAATAAGCAGACTAATAGATAGATAGATAGATAGATAGATAGATAGATAGATATGAATAGACTGATGTAGATAGATAGATAGATAGATAGATAGATAGATAATAGATAGATAGATAGATAGATAGATAGATAGATAATAGATAATAGACTAATAGATAGATAGATAGATAGATAGATAGATAATGAAACAGACTAATAGATAGATAGATAGATAGATAGATAGATAATAAGACAGATAATAGAACAAACTGAGAAAGATAGAGACATAGACAGATGACAGAGAGAGATAATGAACAAACTGAGAAAGCTAGCTAGATAGACTGTGACAGAGAGATAGATAGATTAAGAGAGTAAACAGATAGATAGATATGAATAGACTGAGATAGATAATGAACAGACTGTGATAAATTGAGACATAGAGAGATAAAGAGATAGACAAATAATGAACAGACTGAGAAAGCTAGCTAGATAGACTGTGACAGATAGATAGATAGATAGATAGATAGATAGATGAAGAGAGTAAACAGAAGTATAGAGAGATAGATAGATAGATAGATTTGGCAAAAGGCCTAGACGGAGTTGGCAAAAGACCTAGATAGATAGATAGATAGATAGATAGATTCTAATGCTAAACTCCAGGAGACCAATGCTCTGCGCTTTACTTGACTCATATTTGCCAATGATGTTCTATGGAACGACTATATTAAAACAATTGCTGCATCTACTACTTGGAAATGTAGTTGTCTGTGTCGTATCGGACAAAAAAATTCTTGTCACAATACATTTTGCACATTTCTAAATTTTACCATTCAATCGCGCATAAAATTTTGCCAGCATATTTGGTCTGCTGTTCATACTATACCGGATGTAATAACAAAATTGTCCAAATCACATAAAACCAAAATTGTCTATTTGTCAGATTAAGCTTTTTACTGTTATAGCTTAGAAATGATTAAAGACATCTTCCGAGGTTTTTAAAACATTATTGGATTCTATTTTGAGCAATAAGTATAGATAATTACTCTCCAAGCTTAGAAGAAGAATCGTGATGAACTCGATCATAAACCAAAACAACATATTCATAATTAATTAATCATAGCTAAGGATCAGAAGCTCATGGAGAATTGAAATAATTTTTATATATATATATATATATATATATATATATATATATATATATATATATATTATTATTATTATTATTATTATTATTATTCTAGAATACTTTTCCATCTTATTCAAGATAATTTTCGTCTTCTCTAAACTTCTAACTTTCTGTCCTGGAGTAACACGTATTTTTTCACTGCTTTTTGGACTGTCATAGCTGAAACTCCTCTCTCACGTGCCAAACGTCTCAGAGATTGAGTTGGATCTTTTCTAATTGATCTCTTTAGCTCTAAGTTGAAATGATGATCTCTCTTCCTGTTGTGACATCCTGATCCGGTTTTTTCTCTCGACTGTTTCCTTTTTTTAAAACTTATTCACCATTCCCTTGATGGGTCTTGAATAGACTTTGAAGATGGAAGGTAGAGTATGAGTATTCGTATCATTACTGAATGGTTGAATGATCTTTTTCCTCTCACCATTGCTCAGTAGCGAAGATATAAATGGTCTGATAAAAAACTATTTAACCTGTTCTCATTCTAGCTGAATAACTTTTCAGTGATTCTCACAAATGGTGTCAAGATAGCTAAACATCTTATCTTAAAATGTCGAAAAAAGAAACTCAGTTTAGTTGTTTTTTTTAGATATTAACCATTTTGTGGGATGGACAATTATCCTATACTGCTACACGATTTGGACAATTTTGCTGTTAGACCCGTTATACCATATATTACATAGAAGAAGTGAAGTTGTATTTACTCACCCCCACCCCACAATGTCAGGTTGTAACACAAGGTCGGTTTAATGTGGGGATCCCGAGCGCGTACACCCGGGCTAGGAACAAAAATTGTCCAAGCCCCCGCAACCGTAGGTGCGTGCACGGATCCCTCTCTCTAGTTCAATGAGAGGGCGTTGCCTCGTGTAGCTGTTCCCCAGGGCCGGCACATCTCTATAATTTTACATAGTTGTGACTCTGTTCTTTGACGGAGTCGCCCCTGAGTGCACTCTGCCCAATGATAGAGATGCAATTGAGAGATGATAAGTAATGTGTTGCAAACAACTCGAGAGAAATGAATATCACGAACTGGAATTGGAAATCGGTTTCCCGAATAACGATTCCTAGTTATTCTCCAGTACGCCACTCTTACATCAAGGCTTGCAGCTCCTGGAATTCCAAAGCAGACACCCAGAAACTGTCAAAATAGATTTAGTCAAAATGAAGATGATCATGAAATGAAGAAGAAAAGGAAGAAAGAAGAAGAGGAAGCAGATGAAAGAAGAAAAGGAAGAAAGAAGTAGAAGAAGAAAACGAAGAAAGAAGAAGATGATGATGATGATGATGATGATGATGATGATGATGATGAAAAAGAAGAAGAAAAGGAAGAAAGAAGAAGATAAAAGAAGAATAAGAACAGGAAGAAGAAGAAGAAGAAGAAAAGGAAGAAAGAAGAAGAAGAAAAAGATGATGATGATAAAAGAAGAAGAACAAAAGGAAGAAAGAAGAAGAAGATAAAAGAGGAAGAACAAGAAGAAGAAGAAGAAAAAAAGAAGAAGAAAAGGATGAAAGAAGAAGATGAAAGAAGAAAAAGAAGTAAAGGAAGAAAGAAGATGATGCTGAAAGAAAAAAGAAGAAAGACGTCTGTAACAAGGAATAACTATCCATCCTAGCAGACAGATATACAAAGCAGTCAGCCATTATTTTTTTATAATATAGTGACGTAGCCACGTTAAAAAATATAGGGTATATAAATCTATGTCTTCATTCAGCAATGTCCACTGGTGGAAGTAATCGCCGCCATAACACAAGGACAGCTCCTTCGTAGAAAACAGACGCTCATAGATAAACTATACAAGTTCACATCTCGCTGAATATCTCTTGATTTCTGAGATGATGTATTACAATTATTTACATTATTTATATTGTACGGTCTATTGTCCTGATTTTTATTACCATATTCACGACATTTCGACCGGTGTACGCTCCGGCTTTCTTCGGGTGATTGGAATAACCGAAATGAACCCATTATTTCGTTCACCGGGGTAGATTGTTCTAGTTCCACGTGCCATGCCTCTTCCAGATGCCTCAGCTGTCTCCCTTTAACCGAACTCCCCAAGTTTTTGATCACCACTGCAGTAACCAGCTATTGAACTCACAACATTTTTTGTGTCAAGTCACTGGATCCAACCAACGCCTTTATCCTCTAGAGGGCCATGTGTCAACGTAAATGGGACATCTGGAAGACGCATGGCACGTGGAACGAGAACAATCTACACCGGTAGATGAAATAAAGTTTTCATTCGAAATTCCATTCGTCTGACGAAGGCCGGAGCGTACAACGGTCGAAACGTCGTGAATATAGCAATGATGATGAGCACAACAGTCCGAACAATGCAAATAATGTAAATAATCTCACTGAGTATTTGGCAAACATGTACAAACGTATCCGCAATAAGTCGGAGTTTTAAAAAGACTGATTTTTCCTAAACATCGGGTTTTAACTATCTAAATTCTTCAGCAGTGTTTATTGTTTTAAAGAGCAATGATTAGACAGTATTTAGATTAGTCGGACTATTGTCCTCATCTTTGCGCGACAAATTTGAGGACAATAGTCCGACTAATATAAATACTGTACATAATACCTCATCTCAGAAATATAGACAGACTCTGAAGGATCGGTACGGACCCGATATACCAAAAATATGGAGCGAGAAAGATGAGGACAATAGTCCGACTAATATAAATACTGTACATAATACTTCATCTCAGAAACATAGACAGACCAATGATTAGAATTGGAATAAAACCTAAACATATGATGAAAGTGAATCTATACATTCTCTTTGTTCTTGAGAATTGACAAGAAAATACTATTTATAATATTAATGGAATTGTTAGCAAAACATCGGCTAATTGCCAAACGAGTGAACTTTATAAAATAGCAAATAATAAGAATTTCTTCATCGTTGGTTCATATATTTTTAAAATTTAGTAAACGTTTATAAATGTATAAATAAAAAATAGTTTTCATGCTTATTTATTTATTAATTAATAAGTGATAAATATTGCATTAGTTCTGAGTGTATTAGTTTTTACAATGTCATAAATATAAAATTATTATTCTAAATAAACACTTTAATAAATATAGTGTTTAATAGTTTTCTTGTATATTCCAAAGAACAAAAATATATATAAACTCACTTTCATCATATGTTTAGGTTTTATTCAAATTCTAATCGTTGCTTTTTAAAACAAAAAAAAACTTTGCTGAAGAGTGAAGGTATTTAAAAATAGAAAAAACTATCAATGAAAAAACTGTCCTTTTGATACTATATCTTATTACGGTCACGTTTGTCCATGATTGCCTAATATTTCATTTTTATTTCCAATGCATGCTGCTAACAACGTTTACTGAATGGTTATTTGAGCTTTGCGATGAAAAAAAAAAGCAATAGAAAAAAAGACTAAATGAAAAATAATGACAGGTTTTGGTCGTCTCTTCTTGAAAACTATCCAGAATTAATTCGATCCCACCAAGTGCTCTAAAAATGAAGTCTGGTTCAGCTATTGCTTGTAACAAGTACACTTACTACGAGAAGAAGAAAAAAAACAAAATGCCGGATAATAATTGTAGTGATGACGAGGATTAATGATGGCGGACGCTCTGTTGGCGTTGATAAGAAAAGAAAAACTTGGAAGCGGGAAATATCACGGATAAATAAATGATGGAGCTAGAAATATCCATTAGGTGAACAGACACGCGTTGGGTTTTCTTGGCTTGAATCTCGATGACTTGCAGACAACTCATTGAAGCGAAGATAAAAATCAGATCACGTCGTAAGATTGCGTTCAAAGAGAGGTTTATGAACGCAGCGCTTATAAGGTAAGAGGGTTTTGTTGAAATGGGGAATAGCGGGAGTAGAGAATGTAAGAGAATAGATAGAAAGCCGGAGAAAAGAGGGGAATAAAACAGCTGTAGTGAAAAAGAAAGAAAGATAAGAAAACTGAAGCCGAAAGAAAGAAAATGAAAGGAAAGACAAAAATAGTAGAAAGAGAAAGGATAAAAGAAAGGAAAGAAAGAAGAATCAAAGAAGAAAAAGGAATGAGAAATAAAAATGGAGAATGAAAGAGGAGAAAAATAAAAGCGATGAAAAGTCTTGACAGAAATAAAAAAAAAAAAAAGATTAATGAAATCAGAGGTCAAAACATCGCTTGCAAAGATAATAGATACCTTCACAATTACAAAAGGCCAAAGAGTAGAACGGCCGAAACATTGTTATAACAAGAAAAGCAATAAATAAAATGAGTCAAATCGTCCGTAAGACGCCTATAGGAACAAGACTGCATGTCATTTTTACAGAAGGCTGTAGAAATTAATCGACCAATTTGTGTTAATAGCAGCAACAAATAAAATTAGTCAAATCATTCTTATAAGGTTAATAACGCATGTCATTTTTACTCGAAGGCCGGAGAAATTGCTCGCCCGAATTTTGTTAACAACAGCAACGGCAAAAAGGATAAGTTTTGATTGATTGATTTGTTTTCTACGGCTCATCAACACTTTGCAGTTTATTTAAAGCCAAATTTTTCTTCTTTTTTTTTTTTTGCATAATGCTTCAGTAATAAACGTCTTATTAATTAACCCATAACTGCGCGGAGAAGTGATGGATTCATTCATTTTCCAAAGGGTATGTGTGTAAGTATATATAAAATGAAATTAAGGAGAATTCGAACTCGGCTCTCCGATTAACAATTTCGAGCCATTATCCGTTACACCACTCGCACATTCAAGCTTACAGCTCCTGGTATTACTAAGCGATTACTGATTTAGGTACTGACCTGTCACAACGTTGCTTAACTTCGGTGATCATATGGGAACCGATATTTCAACGTGATATGTCCGTAAGCAAAACATACAATAGCCCGAAGATGTTATCGTATTAGGACTCCAATATTGTTTGATATGAGATGGGGAGAAGTAAATAAAATTAAAAAAAAAATAAATGTAGGATATTTAAAACAGAGTAAAATAAATAAATGATTATTTTTATTTGTCTTGAATTCAATAATGAATTTATCCCAAGCGATTTGCTTGAACTTGAGAAAAAAATGAAATGGTCGATTTGTTTTTAATTCTTATATTACAGATCTCCCAAATATCACTTGTGGAAACTAGGCATAGAATACACAGTTGAAAACCAATTTTTCGCTAGTGATTTTTACACGAACCTATTACTAATATAGCACCCTAATTGTTGCTACATTTAGGCTATGAAATGTATATTTAAATAAGTTTATTATAATAATCTGCCCCATAATAATTTTTACATTTAATGTATGAAATGTGTTAGACAATGTAACAAATATTATGGGATAGACACATTGTAACTACTATTGGGTTAACCAAGGACACATTCCAAAATCTGGGTAGAGTATTGCAAGACAGGAGGATTTCTTTGGTAACAAAGAAAAGAATGCTGAATTGTTACGGGACATCTGTCCTTCTTTACGGCAGCGAATGTTGGACGATTTCCTCTATGATGAAGAGACACGAAGCGACAGAGATGTGGTTCTACAGAAGGATGCTAAGGATATCATGGACCGAGCATGCGATTAACGATGAGTTTTTAAAGAGGATGCAAACAAGGAGGAGGCTTATACTTAACACCAGGAAAAGGGCCTTGAGAATCTGGGTTAAATAGATGGAAGAATAGACAAAGGAAAAAACGCATGACATACCTAGCAGGCTTGAGCAAGTGGATGACAGAACGTGGTCTGGGGAAAGTGACAGAGGGAAGGAAGGAACTTGTTAAGAGCTGCAAGGGATATAGCAAAGTGGAGAGCCATGATCGCCTACGTCCGGACAGGACATGGCACATAAAAAGAAAGAATAATTATTACATTTAGTGTACGAAATGTGGTAGCCAGTGTATAAAATATTATGGAACAGACCAGAATGAATATAATTTGGGCACTATGAAATGTGTTACAAATTATTGCATGAAATACGTTAACCAGTGCAATATATATATTATGGGATAGACGCGGTAGAAAGACAGTTTCTGTCCCATAATTGGTACATTTAGTGTGGGAAATGTGTTTACCAATGTATAAAATATTATGGGACAGTCATTATAAATACTACTTCTGTACCATATTAATTGCTACATTTCGTATATGAAATCTTTTAGCCAATGTAACAAATATTATAGGACAGACACAGTTAAAAAAAAATATAGCTTCTGTTCAATAATGACTCGTATATTTAGTGTACGCAATATTATGGAACAAACGCTGTATAATGATTGCCTCTCCCATAGTAATTGTTATATCTAGTGTATAAAATTTGTTCGCAGATGTTACAAATATGATTGGACAGACCTAATATAATTTGTTTACTTTTCTTTTTAGATATGGTGGTATTAAATCCGTTATTTATAGTGTAAGTTAACACTGTTGACGAATATTTATTTATCTATTCCTGGCTGGGTTTATTGGCCGATCCATTTTTCAGTTGGGGAAAGATTGTCGCTTCTTACGACTTCTGCGCATAATATAAACAATCTAACTAGTGAAAATAGTCTCCAATCTTAAATTCGAGCTGGCAGACATTTAAGAGAATAACTGTGTATTTTTGGTCGGTTTTATGATATCTGAGCCGGATCTTCAAACTCCGATAGAACCGGGTGCAGGTCACGTTGAACTTTTAACGCCATTCGTATGGATGCGATCAGAACTTTAGTGTCCACAGCTCTGGCGCTAAGGGTCGCTTTATGTTTATCATCATCATCATCATCATCATCTTGCGGCCACAGCCGAGATTGAACTCGCCAATACTTTGATTGGTGTAGTTCATAATCTTGTCAAGTAGCTGAATTCTTGATGCTTCGCTAGGGCTATCAAGGGTGTTTTTATCGTGACACCAACACTAAATGGATTGCCAACCAAGGCTCAGAGAGACTCCATTCACCCTCATCTAAAAGCAGATTTGAATTCAGAGTTTTCCTTCCCGTAGACCAGTTGCCATCCAAGGCTATAGAACCCAGTCTGTCCTGCTATTTACCCATAACTAAGGGTGTTAGTACGTAAGTGAATGTAATGGATTCGACTGGAATTCGAACTCGGCTCTCCGATTCCCCAATCCAAGCCGCTATCCATTACTCAACCGTGCCTCCTCTTTATAGGTTTGCGTTGAATTCAAGGTAGAAGGTCAGTAGATGCAGTCTAAATGTTTTTGTTTCCTCTTCTATGTACCGTGTCCCTTCTGGACGTGGATGATAATGGCTCTCCACAACTGCCTATCTATTGTAGCGCTAACCCTCTCCTAATACCTGTTCTGCTACCCATTTACACAAGCTCGATAGGTAGGTAATGCGCTGTCTACCTCTGTCCCTCTTGACTTCAATATTTCCTTTGAGTGCCAAATTTTCCAAGTCCTCTTTCCTCATTATGTAACCGAGAAATTTCAACTCTTTATTATGCTTCGTACAAGTGTCCATTTTGTTTTCATTTTCCCTAAAACTTCGTACCCCGGCTCCCTTAGAATTACCCAAGTTAAGCAACGTCGAGCCTGGTCAGTAACTAGATAGGTGACAGCTTGCGAATACCAGGTGATGTAAGCTTGAAGGAGCGGGCTATGCAATGGATAATGGCTCGAAATTCTTAATCGGAGAGCCGAGTTCAAATTTAACCTGGTTTCGTTATATTTACTTGGGAAAAGGCATGTATTCTCCCCAATTATGGGTTAATTAGTAAGATTTGCACCATTAAATCTTTATTATTTCCCCCCCAAATATTCTTACAATCTAATATTTCTTGGCTTTAAATAACCTACAATGAATTGATAAGCCATAGAAAAAGAATCAATCAATCAACAATAAAAAGAACGTTCGTCGTCGTTCATCTCCATGTTATTCTCAGCATCCTTCTGTAGAAAATTTCTGTTGCCTCAAGTCTCTTTTTCATCGAAGTTTCCTTTTTGTTCGGTTTTAAAAATCCATTTATTTGTACTATGTCTGTCCAGTAAACTATCTGTATACACTTTTCATACAATAAATGTAACAATTGTTATGGGACAGAAGCATTGTGCATATTACCTCTGTACCATAATAATTGTTACATTTGATTAGTTTGGGTTGGTTTATTTTGTTTTACGGCATCTCAACATCAATGGGTTTTTCAATGCCGTCAAGATTTTTAGGATAATTTCGTATGAATAGAATATGTACTCTTTGGTTCAGATTGGTTTGGTTTATTTTGTTTTACGGCATATCAACCTCAAAGGGTTATTTATTTAATGATAATTTCGTATGAATAGAAATGTATTTTTGGTTTAATTGATTTTTTATTTAGTTTTGAATAGAATATGGGTTATTTCTTTGGTTTAGAATTGATTTGGTTTATTTCGTTTTACGGCATATCAACCTGAATGGGTTATTTAATGCCGACAAGATTTTTGGATAATTTCGCATGAAGAGAATATGTATTCTTTGAAAGAAATCAGTTTGAAGATCGGGTTTTATTAATTTATTTTTGTAAAGATGATTTTTTTTCGAGAGTCAAAAATATTCAAAAATGTATTGCTGGTACTTTTCCTATTAAAATGCATCTGTACACTTCGTAGAGTTTTGACCCCCATTTTGTCGGGCGGGTGCCATTTTCTCATAGATGGGACTCCAACAAGTACCACCACTCCCGATCAGAATGGCCCCAGAAACAACAGCATTTAAAAGCACTCTCCTCATAACCTCCCGAGGCCTTGCTGCCGAATGTAGTTTATCGTGATACCCAGGACAGTGTTATATTTGAAAACCTATTCTATACGCTAATTGGAACAAGAATTACGGGACAATTAATATTTATACTGCATCTGTCCCATAATATTTGTTACATTTGAAAATATATTTCATAGAATAAATCTAACGACTGTTATGGGACAGACAAAGTGTATATATTACCCCTGTCCCATAAAATTTGTTATATTTGAAGACATATTTCATACACAAAATGCAACAATTCTTATGGGACAGAGGTAGATATTTTCATTATCCATTAATAGTTGTTACATTTTGCATAAACATTTCACGCACTAAATGCGACAACTATTATGGAACAGTCGGTGTATTTAGTCTACATTTGTTCATAATAATTTATATTTTATTATAAATGTACGAGCAAGAAAAAATATTTGGCTTCTTTTCGCCTTAACATATTTTTGTGCTTTTCAACATACTTCCTGGAAATTTAACAAGTTTAAATGGAATCTAATTTGTTTATCGTCAACGCTACTAATTACTATCACGCACTTACTGTACCTGACCTTTATCGGTGGAAGTTGATTTGATGCACGTGTATAAAAAAAAAAATTAAAAAAAAAAAAAAAAAAGAATAGCGAAGACATTGTAAAATAAAAATTCCTGGGTTTTAATTTCTTTTAGTTTGGTTATTAAATGTTTTCAGCTTTCGCCCTCCTCTTTCTCTTTCTCTCTCTCTCTCTCTCTCTCTCTCTCTCTCTCTCTCTCTCTCTCTATCTATCTATCTATATACCTATATATATATATATATTTATATATATATATTGAACAATAAATATTTAAAAAAATTAAAATCTTCAGACACACGGGGTTGTATATTTTTTATTTCATTTGGATTCCTCAAATAGTTTCGGCCAACATGGCCATCATCAGGAGAAAAAAAAATTCTGTTTGCTGGTTAGAGTGAACTACATAAATGAATGTCTTGATGGAGGATATATATATATATATATATATATATATATATATAGAGAGAGAGAGAGAGAGAGAGAGAGAGAGAGAGGGAGAGATAATGTGTACACTCTTGTCAACATTGAAGTGGCGCCAGGCTGTTTCATGTTTGAACGGAAACTTCATGGCCTGAAGATTGCGTCCTAACATGAAACAGACTGTCGCCACTATGAATCGACATTAGTGTCCCCACTTCTTATAAATATATGAAGTGTGGACACTGATGGCAATACACTAACCGGATATTCACTACATTTAACCTATAAATATAGAACACTTTAAAAGTACGTTTTATTGTATATAACTGTGTGTGTGTGTGTGTGTTTGATCCTGTGTGGCCGAGTGTCTCTCTGTGTGTGTGCGTGTGAGTGCGTGCGTGTTAAATTTCAGATTATATCTGTAAAAGGACAATATGAGTATTTATCATGATACAGTCCCTCAGAATACGAAACAATGTCGGCAAGTAAACGGGTTACTTTTTGTGTTTGTTCATATCTTAAAAACGTAAGAACGCTGACCGGAACACTATCCCAGTTTCGACCTCCAAGGTCTCGTCATGTGATTCGTTCAGTGAATTAATCAGTGGCATCTCAACAACTTAAATGTCTTCATTCGTCACCGGAAGTGATTGCACTGCTATAGTCTCTTTCCACCTCGGCACAATACACTACATGCGTCTGTTTATCCTCAACAATATCCTTTTCCAAATACTTTTAATATATTCCGATATCATCTTCAGGGATATGATGGCCTGAGACAAATAATTTTGTTTGGCCGGTTAAATTTTTGCTTCTGTGGTTAAGCTGTTAACAGTTCTGTTCATGCGCAAAGTCACAAACCGTGATTTTTTAAAAATATTATATATATACATATATATATAAACGCAAGCCTTCTTTGTGCAAACAACGTGAGTGTTTGCTGGGACTCGCTGTCATCTGCCTCTAGTTCCTTCATATTGCATATATATATATATATATATATATATATATATATATATATATATATATATATATATATATATATATATATATATATATATATATATATATATATATATATTCACCTATTCTGATTGTACATTTTCTGTTTTAATTTTGAATCTCCCGTGGAAGCCTGAAGAGCAGGATCGAAACCGGTTGCTTCCCCCCCACCGTTGTTGTGTTTTTTTTTTATTATTTAATATTGTTTAATATGTCTTGTAATATTAAATTTTATACTTTTATTTCGATCATTAAATTTTATACCTACAAAATATCTTTAAATATATATATATATATATATATATATATATATATATATATATATATATATATATATATATATATATATGTATGTATGTATGTATATCGACCATCAGCGAGCCTACACTCGGCGTGGACAGCCCATTTCATAAATCTTCGTTCGCGAAACCAAGCCAAGAAAAAGGAATATATATATATATATATATATATATATGTTCAAAATTTAAGATAAAATTTCTTGTGTCAATGACATTTTAACGCGACTTGCTCTCCCTACCATTTACCTCATAAACGATCTCCTGCTTGCTTTTCTTTGCCACATTACGCTATATTGACAGGCAGAGAATACAGTAAATTATAACATCGGCAATTGATTATGATCTGTTCCATCTAATAAATCCATAGCAACAAGAAAGTTGCTATATCTATTGTCAGTCTTGACAGATGGAGACCAAGGACTTGAAGATTTTCGAAGATTGGATTAATAAAGACACTTAACGAATTTTCGGACGCAAATGGCTGGAAGTGAAAGAATCTAGGCGCGAAATACTGAGGTCCTTGCGAAGGCAGACGTGAGTCCAATGATGTCCAGGAAAAAATATGGAGCTACTGACCCTATTATTTTCCCGCCATTTTCTTCTGATTGGCGCCTGATTGGCTGTGTTAAAACGATAGCGTTCTCTCTCGGTTGTACAATTACCATCACAGGACGTCGTAAGAATCTGTCATTTATTTATTTTACCTTAATTTGTATACCTTTTTTTTTATTTTTATACCATTGTTTGTATCTAATCTCATATATATATATATATATATATATATATATATATATATATATATATATATATATATATATGTGTGTGTGTGTGTGTGTGTGTGTTTATATATATATATATTTTTAAGATTTGTATGCATATAATATATATATATATATATATATATATATATGCAATTTTTATATATATTATTTATATATTATATATGCAAGGGTACTTATTGGAAAGCGTTTAATATCAGTGATACAGCTATATATATATATATATATATATATATATATATATATATATATATATATATATATCAGGCAGGATGTGTGTGTGTGTGTGTGTGTGTGTGTGTGTGTGTGTGTGTGTGTGTGTGTGTGTGTGTGTGTGTGTGTAACGAATGCAAGGCCGCAATTTTCGACGGATTTGCACCAAAATTTACATGCACATGCTCCAAGTTAAACGGGAAGGCCAAGACCTACTTTGCATTTCCCAACTCCCATCGATAATGGAAATAATCGATTTTTTAATGCTTCTATGGCACTTTTCATGTAGTTTGCGGCCATTTTCTACTGACCAGAGTGAGAGCCTATAGCTGGCTGCCACGAATAGGCAGGAAGATTCTATTGGCCAGCGTGAGAGCCAACAGCTGACTGACACGAATGTCAAGTAAGCATGCTAGCATGCAAAAAAATATCGATAGCTGCATTCGTCACAAGTGGGAAAAATTTAAATCTGCATGGCACTTTACTCCAATTGGCTCATTCGCTTGCTTAAACTCAACATTGATTCTGATTCCACAGAACTGGGTTGCGTGTGAAAAAGTATTTGTTGTTAACATTCTTTTTTCATTCGGTTTTTCCAGTTACGAGTCCTTTTTTAAAGCTGATCGTTTTGTGTTCATTTTGTTTAGTTCTTTTTTCGTAACAGATTTAATGTTTAGTATAGAGCTTAGAAAAAAATCGGTGTGAGATAGGCAAGAAGTAAGGCATGTAACAACATCAGCGCTGAGAACATATGACACATAAAAAGAAGAAAGAAAGATGACAACCTAATTTTATCCCCCATCATCATCTCTAACTCTAGCCACTAGAAGAATAGCTGATTGCGCCATTTTGGCCACACATTATATTGAATCAAGGTCCGCCGCTCGGAACGTCGATTCAGTGCGTCGTATGGGACGTCGTTCTCGTCTGAATCCACTGTACGCGTTTCTGTTGCTATATTTGCTTTGGTACTCCGGTCATATATCACGCGATTTTCGACAAAATCCAAACAAGGCTTTGTAATGTTATCGTCCCCCACCTGACATCTCGGCTTCAGTCACCTTCCCAACGACATGATGTGTCTTTTCTATAAATATTTTTCATGGCACTTGCTCTAATGAGATCACCGCCCCGATACCTCAACCGCACACGAATATAAGCGCACTGCTACATTGGCTACTAGGCCTCATCGTTTTACTGTGGACCTACCTAGATGTAACCGTAAGTTCTATTCTAGTAAATTCTTTTCTTGCACTTCCCATCTGTGAAACTCTCTTCCGGTTTCTTGCTTCCCTGTCATCTATATTTTTCAAAAATTTAAATGCAACATCAATCGCTATCTTCCGTCTTCCTGATATCTGTTCTTTTATTGTTCGTATTCCTCGCTAAAATCTTCTCATTCTCTTCCGCCTCCAGTAATCCCTCTTGCGTTTTTGTGACATTATCGCCCTGCTTGATGTGCAATTATTAAAATCTGAAGTGGCTTATCGTGTTTGGGTTTTGGTTGCAAAAGATGATCACACACGTTTTGCGAAAGTGTAGTGCTATTGAGCGTCAGCAATAAGACATACCATTAACTTGACCTGATATTAAGAGCTTTATTTTTCTTTATGCACATGGTTTAAACAATGTATGGGTCTTGTAACGGTTATCTACTTGGAAAGGGAAAATGGTATGCCGTGTTCGAATTTCGACATTCGCTTTTACACAAACACCCTAGACAAAGGTATGGACCCTTTTCTTCTCCATCATGCTATGCGTTCAATAGTATGTCCTCAATAAGGTGACAACGAGTCTAGGAAGAGGAAAACGTGAGGAGTAGGTAGGCGTCCGGTTCACACTTCTCCCCGGTCATTTGAACAAGGGTAGAGTTTTAGCGGTTGTTTTCTGATTAGGATTGGATTTTCGGTTCCTTCTAAAGTCTCCTCGTTCTCATTCATTCCCAGTAGCACCTTGCATCTTAGTGGCCTTTTTTACCTTGTTTGGGATGAAATGATTAAAAAGAAATGGTCGGTTGAATGAATATTAAAAGATGACTTGCTAAATTAGTCTTCCTGTTTAATGTTTTACTGATCAAGTTTTCTATCTATCTATCTATCTATCTATCTATCTATCTATCTATCTATCTAACTCAGTCTGTTCATATCTATCTCAGTCTGTTCATATCTATCTCAGCTGTTCATATCTATCTATCTCAGCCTATTCACATCTATCTCTCTGTCTATTAATCTATCTATCTATCGCAGTCTATTCATATCTATCTATCTATCTATCTATCTCAGTCTATTCATATCTATCTATCTATCTATCTATCTATCTATCTATCTATCTATCCCCGTCTGTTGATATCTATCTATCTATCTATCTATCTATCTATCTATCTATCTATCTATCTATCTCTGTCATGTTCATATCTATCTATCTATCTGTAATGTTCATATCAATCTATCTATCTATGTCATGTTCATATCTATCTATCTATCTATCTATCTATCTATCTATCCCTGTCATGTTCATATTCATCTATCTATCTATCTATCTATCTATCTATCTATCTATCTATCTCATTCATGTTCATATTTATCTATCTATCTATCTATCTATCTATCTATCTATCTATCTATCCCTGTCATGTTCATATCTATCTATCTATCTATCTATCTATCTATCTATCTATCTATCTATCTATCTATCAACACAACCAATGTTTAACTACAGACTCAATTATAAGCTCGATCGATATTGGCCGTGGTTTCAGAATTAAGCTGGTCCAGCGTCTGTTTATGAATTGAAGCACAATGGAACTTCAAATTGAATAGCCTAACAAAGGTTGAGATGGCATAAAATCACCCATTTGAAAATAACTCTTTCAGTTGCCACTTGTGCTGCTTCTTCGATTATTTATCTATTATATCGAACATTGTTTCACTGTCTTACAAAAGAAAATAATAATAACTATTGGAATATTTATTTTTTAAAAAGTACATGAAAGCAAGTATAAACGTAGTTAAAAGAAAGATATGGACAGATTTAGATAGATAGATAGATAGATAGATAGATAGATAGATAGATAGATAGATAGATAGATAGATAGATAGATAGATAGATAGATAGATAGATAGATAGATAGATAGATAGATAGATAGGAAGGAACAGACTGAGATAGACAGACACAGATACATAGATAAACAAATGCACAATAAATGACGAGAGAAAATTAATGAATTCTAAGGTTTTTGAAAAGCCTTCAGACATTTGGACGCCATTTTGTTTTGGGACAGGAGCGGGAGAAAGAAACAAAAGCAGAAGTAAATGCGTGGGTGGCGGAAATGAAAGATCACGTCATGGTGACAAAAGTACATCGAATAAAATCACCTTTCATTGTTTCTTTTTTTTTCCATTTCACAGAGAAAGCATCCGTCCAAAAACAAAATAACTAACAATTCTTCTTCTTCTTCTTCTTCTTCTTCTTCTTCTTCTTCTTCTTCTTCTTCTTCTTCTTCTCATGATTATCGTTATTTTGAGCGAATCAATTTTTACCCTAAAATAATCACAAGACTCTCGCGAGGTATCACGTGACTGACAAGCTCCTCCGCACTCTTGTTATTAGTTTAACCGGTCTTAATCATTCGCGGATAAGTTTACTTAATCCTTGGATTCTCAAGGCTCTTCGGAATATCTCGAAAGCTCCAATAAAAATGGACACAATTGCCGTCTTCAAATTTCACAATTTTCTGAGTTCTCTAAATGTCATATATGTATTCATCTTTTTCTATTCTTTAAAATGCATGATGGTGTTTGCTCGAACTACCGCAGCCAATTTCTGATAGATCGTATTTCATTCTTTTGTTCTTTGTTTACCAGTTCTAGACGTAGGAAAGATCAAGAGTTGAGCAAAAAGAAAAGATGCATTATGGTTGACCCTGTATAAAGTAGGCCGTATCGCAATAACAACATGAGTTTAACATCGATAATAAAGAGTGTTTCATTAAGACGGATTATATATAAGTGGGTTTCATTAAGTCAGCTGTAAATAAATCAGTGTTATTGGTGAAAAATTATTTATTTCTCTATTGGATCATGTCATTTACGTCACGGCAATTACGTGCGAATAATAATATCACCCAAATGCCTCCCAAATCTAAAAGAAAAACAAAAAAATCATTAGACGCTTAAACTTTCACATTTAAATTCGATCCAAGTTATTGGAACACCATTTATATATATATATATATATATATTGTGTGTATTTAGGCAGCATATTTTCATTTATACACGTTTCATTAAATAATATAGACAAGTGTTGTCTATTTATTTTATGTAAAATCTGAAAGAAAATAAATCATTAGACGTTTAAACTTAATTCACATTTAAAATCGGAATTGGAACACTTTTTATAAGTAACAATCATACATGTCATTTATATATTTATTTACTTAGTAGCCACATTTTGTGAACAGATAAAATATGATAAATTAGTTTAATATTTAATACATTTATTACTAAGAAAATAATTTTACAATAAGCAATGAGTATTACCCGTAAAAAATTCACAGTTTTCTATGTTCGATATTATGATTTATCAATATATTTAACGAATAGAGTTCTTTACGAGTTCCACGGTTACAAAATACCGTGAAAATTCCCTTATTAAAAGTATTTAAACTTAACAATATTATTCAAATATTGCAATAACAATTAGTATGATAACAGGTCATTATTTGAAGAAGTAAGAGGGTACAAATAAAAAGATCTAAAATTAACAAGTTCTTCCATTTCACTGAAGCAAACGTTAAATACCTGAGAGCATTATCACCTTCTCTTACTTCCCTTTTGTTATTTCTTTCGTTATTTCTTTCTTTGTTTCCTGAAATCAAACAACCTGTTTGAGATAGCTTAGCTTAGATGCGGCACAAGGCCGACATTATGGCACACCCAGTGAGGATCGAACTCCCTACTCAGTCGTAATTGTTCTAGCGAGTCATGTCTGCTAACCATGATACCACGTCGAGGGGAGCCAATGATTTTCTAAGAGGTGGCACAAGGCTGTAAGTATGGGATATGCGTTATTCAAAGGAATCAATTCCTCACTGGCTTTGAGCAGAGACAGTTTGTTAGGTTCTTGTTGTGGCCTGTTAGGGGCCAGAAGCTAAGGCACGGAAAGAAGAAGGTAGGTTGAACAAGTGTATAATATAGCAATAACAGAACATATATACAAAATAATTAGTCAGCAGACTGAAGTGTCCGTCCGAACTGTCAGGTTACACAGCGTCCCGACTGCCTATATTTAACAGTCCCCCCACGAGGGATGTATGTGGCACAAGGACGAGTTTACCGTGGATTCTCCGAGCCCGTAGGCTCGGCCAAAAATATCCCCACAGAACCAGCATTAGCGGGTTTGTGTCTGTCTACCTCCGCGGACGAAACTCTGCCTTTTGGCATAGCTTCGTCCGGGTTCCTCTCTTCCAAAGCAGAAAGTTCGACAGAAGTCGCATACAGAGAGACTGCTTCCCGATTGCCCATATTTAACAGTTCCCCCACGAGGAATGTATGTGGCACAAGGCCGAGTTTAACGTGGGTTTCTCCGAGCCCGTAGGCTTGGCCAAAAATATTCCCTTTGAAACCGCATAAGCGGGTTCGGGATCTGTCTACCTCCCCGGACGAAACTTTGCCCATCGGCAAAGCTTCGTTCGGGTTTCTCCCTGGCAAAGCAAAGAGTTCGACAGAAGTCGCAAACAGTCAGAAAACTGCGTCCTGACTGCCCTCCCTAGGAAGTCTCGCAGGTTAGTATTTATGAAGGAGGAAGAGTTCATTTTAATGTAGATAGGTCACCATAACAGTAGTAAGTCTTATAAAGATCCTCTTGGATAATACCAGTCTTAAATAATATAACGTTTCTTTGTTTAAGACACTTGAATATCATTTTTAGATATTCTATCAAGATTATATAGAAAAATAATAAATTATTAAATATTTATAAATATTGTCAGTCTATGGAGATGCGGTACAAGAATGTGGAATGGTGGAAGAATTTGCAGAGGCAAGGCAGCAGGATGAAAAATTTAGCGGTTTTCGGTTTGCTGTAGCGTCCGTCGAGCGGGCAGACTCCGATGAATAACACTTCCTTTCTTGATGATTCCAAGGACCTCTAAGTATCCGGAGCATTCGACTGGCAACACAATTCCAAATTATTCTCAAATTCCTTTATTGCTTCTAATTCCAATGACGTTTCGAATGTTCCATACTACAAAGCTCTTTAGGTAGATAGATTAGAGAGTCGATCTTTTCGGATACTGGGTTTTCTATTTCCGTAAGGTCATTGGATGTTTTGCAAATGTCCAGGCAGCGACGCTCACGATGTCAAACGTGCTATTTCTTCAACGACCAGTGCTCCCTGGAGTGATGCTGAGGAGCACTCGTCTTCTTTCAAGCGATGTCTTCCAAGAGATGTTTTTCGATAGTTGCATGACTGAGGCAAAAAGAATCTCTTTTCTACCAATTATGGGTTAAAAAACAAGGTATACTCTATCTTTTAACCTTGGCGTGCAACCACTCTAGGAGAATGACAACGTTAAATTCAAAACCGTGAAAAAGTCAACGGGATGTTACTCTTCCACTCTATTTTTCAAGAATATTTACGTACATATTTACAAATAACAAATAAAAGTGTCTATGGAGATCCCTGATCGCATCTGTCCAGGAGAAATATGTCACTTGAAAAATGTTTACTAGACTTGCCTTAATAGCAGATAAAGGCAAATATTGTGGATGATAGAATGGAAATAGAAAAAAAAAGTACATATGGAAAGTGATTTCCTGATTATTTTAAAAAAAATAGAATTCCAAATATTGGTTTTTACCTGGGCATCCTTGCGAAATACGTGACAGGTTCAGTCACGAAGCTTAAATAGTTCAGTACTGCTTTCTTTATAGCTGACTTCGTCCGCCATTTTGTCTTAAATTTTTTTAATGTTTTTAGCGTTTTTTTTTTTTCCCGGATTTTTCTTCTTGTTCTTTTCCTCTTTAACCCTCTTCATTTTCGTCTTTCATATTTCTTTTCATCCTCCGCATTCATACTCTTCTCCTTGTCGTCTGCTTTATTCATTCCCGCCATACCACAAATAGCAGTTAGAGCGCAAAACCTTTAAACCAACGTCTTTACTCAACTTAAGCGTGAATCACTTTTTTCTTCGCTATTCTCTTCTGCTTGACCAACTTTTATTCCGTCGTTCGAATTCCTTTATTCGGACGCGTTTATTCCGCTTCATATTACAACATTATTCTTAAGCAATTAATCTTTTACACTTTCTTACGTTTAATGTTTCGGCAGTTTTATTCGAGGTTCAAATCGATTTCTTTGTTGGTATTTTTGCATTCATTGCTTTTCACCGTCTTTATTATACTGCGCGCTATAAACATTTCAATTTTTTTTTTAAACATCATGATTTACTTTGTCTTGATTATTTAGGTAGAATAAACTATAGTACACACATAGACATATTGGCGCTCGCGCCCTACACATAGATAGATAAACAGACAGACAGACAGATAGATAGATAGATAGATAGATAGAGAGATAGATAGATAGATAGATAGAAAATGAACAGAATGTGATAGATAGATAGATAGATAGATAGATAGATAGATAGATAGATAGATAGATCAGAATGAAGTTGCTTCATTTGACAATATTTCAACACTTATCTTAATCATTTCACCCCAAGAAAGGCGTTAATACCGCTAAGATTAAGGGGTTACTGCAAA